GTAACCTGCATGGGAAGACTGCATTTCTCTGGTGGAGCAGCAGTGGAATCAAATTGAAAGCCTCTGGGTTTGGTTAGCTCTTGTAATTTTCTGAGTTGAGGGAAAAAAGTGGATAGCAATTAGAACTCATATAAACCATTAGGTGTAGAAAGCATGTGTGGGAAACCTCTTAATACCCTGAGAATGTCTCTTAATAGCCTGGTGGACTGTAAGACTTACAAAAAAATTGAAAAAGTACTAAGCATATCTTCCCTCAATTATTCAGAATTATCAGAGTATTCACCTCTTTATTACCCAACTAAGAGGGAATATTCACCTTCCCAGGCAATAGTTTAAAAACCCTCCTGATTTGCCACTCTCCCACCAGATCTGACCCTCCTCTGCCCACCTGCCAGTCTACACCCACCATGGCCAACATTCAGCAGCTAGTAGAAAGACACCTGGCAGACAAGGGCTCTGAGGAGTACATGAAGAAACTAGGAGTGGGAATGACTCTGTGGAGAAAGGGTGTAATGGCCAAGCTAGATTGTATCATCCTAATAGCAAAGCCCTCAGTGAAAATGGAAAGCACTTTGAGAATGCAGTTCTCTTGTAACGTCAGAAAAAAATGTGAAGAAACTATAGCTGATGGCAAAAAAACTCAGAATGCCTTCAACTTTACAGATGGCGCTTTTAGTTCAGTGCCAGGAGTAGGATAGGAAGGAAAGCACAATAATTAAAAAAATGATAAGATGGGTAATTAGTGGTGGAATGTGTTAATGAACAATGTTACCTGTACCTGAACCAAAGAAAATGCCATTTTTACTCTGGAAAGGAATTAGAGGTGAGAATGAACATGCTCAGTTCAATGAGAAGGTATCTATTCTGCTTTTCTCCCCACTATGTTCAATTATTTCTGCCACAAATACTTCACATGCAGCTACTTCAAAGTGTTGGTTTAAGTAGGATTATCCCTTTGGATAGTAAATGTATGTTCCCTATGAAATCAAAAGAGAATACACACACATTCTGAATAAAAAACCATTAAGAGGAATGACCACCTGTTATAGTTATGAAATGGAATGTTACTAACAATTGTGAAGCCCTTTATGTTCCTCCTTGATTGCATGCCTTCTCATCTCTAAGCTTAATTTGTTAGCAGGTCTTTTTTTACTTTTAAATGACTTTTCGTCCTAAGTAAGATGCTTTGCATTGCCAGATTTTTAATTTCTCTGGATTGAAAAAATTTCTCTGCAACTTGTTTTATTTGGGTTTCCTGTGAGGGTAAACAGTAATGACAGATTAGACAGTTTTATCCCCAAAGGGACAGAGTTCTTTTCTGAAAGGAGATGAGGAATAAAAGGCTGCAACTTGGTTTTTGTTTTGTTTTTTATTTTATTATTATTTTTTTGCGTGTACTGTCAAATCAGATCTGACTGGTACAGGAGATTGTCCTCCTTCTCCAGCAGAGCATCTGGTGGAGCAACTTGTTTTCAACAACCATTCCAACCATCATCCCCTCAATGTTCCCTCACACTCCTCTGTAGTCCTTGTCCCCCTCCAGGTCCCTGCCAACACTGATGTCCTTTCCATTGCTATAGTTTTGGCTACTCTAGAATGTCACAGTAATGCATTCATGTTTGTTATATATGCACAATCATATACATTTGTGTCTATATAGTGTGTCTGGGTTTTTTTTACTTAGCATGCTTTTATCTTTTCACTCCTTTATAGTATTCCAGAATACAAATATATCCACCAATTATTCTAATGTGGGCATCTGGATTAAGTTTTTTAAAATGATGAGGTGAGGTCTGGTGGCCTAGTGGCAAGAAGCTGCACTGCAATCCCAGAGGCACGTGGTTCAAATCCACCAGATGCTCTGCTGAAGGAGAGACAATCTCCTCCTGTACCATTCAGATCCAATTTGACGATACACACACTAAAATTTAAAAAAAAAAAAAAGATGAACAATTATATTATGAATGATCTAGGGCATAAACGCAAAGATTAATTTCTTCATAGAAGAAGTGGAGAACATGGATTAAATACATAAGTAATCTTACTTTATGAAATCCAATTACTTTCTAGTTTCACACATTTAAACTTGTACTAGCAATGGACAAAAAACTTTGTGTATTTTTCAATGCAAAGGGAATCTTCACCTCCTATGGCCCCCAAATATACTGTTACCTATGTGACTATGATTCAGAGGACTCTGAATGACATAGAACTATCTGTAAATCTTTACAGAAGTAGACTGTTCATCTTTATCATGCAGAATGCTGGTAGGTTTCAACTGCTGACTTATTGGTTTAGCAGCTTAATTTTTAAAATGCCACAGAAACAGTGTTCCTTCATCTGGTGTTATCACGTCAAGCTCATTGTAGCCTACCCTGTCCTGGGCCTATTTACTGATTCCGACACCCCCCTTTCTCCCCCCATTGCCCCAGTTACTATACCAATCCATCTTATCCAGGTCTTCCTCTCCTGCACTGTCCCTTCACCCTTCTAAGCATGATGTCCCTCCAAGGACTGGACCCTCCTGGCCACATGCCAAAATCCTAGCCTCTAAGGAGAAACTTGGTTTCACCCTCTCCAATACAGACCTATTTGTTTTCTTGGCAGTCCATGGTATATTCAAAACTCTTCTCTAGCAACACAATTTGAAGACACTGATTGTTCTTTTGTCATCCTTACTCACTGTCCAGCTCTCTGATGCATAGCAAGTAATTGCAAAGATGATGGCCTGGATTAGGCACATCTAATGTCTCTAGATTGACATCGTTGCTTTTCAGTATTAGAGGTCCCTGACAGATTTTCCCAGTGCAATTTGTCTTTTGATTTCCTGACTAGTGAAGCCAAGATTTTAGGTGCCATCAAATCAACTATGACTCATAAAGCAACCCTATGAACAATGGAGCTGAACCATGCTCTATCCCTGGGCCATCTCCATCATCTGAGATACATAAGCTCATTACAGTCCCTATACCAGTCCATCTTGTTAAGGGTTTTCCTTTCTTTCACTGATCCTCCTCTTTCCAAGCACAAGGTCTTCTTTCAAGGACTGCTCCCTCCTAACAAGATGCTCAAAGCATGCAAGATGAAGCCTCATCATCATTGCCTCTAAGAAGCACCCTGGTTGCACTTTTTCCAAGACAGACTTATTTGTTCTTTTAGCAGACCATGGGGTGTTCAGTGCTATCTATTAGACATCTCCAAGAAATCACAGGCAGGCAGGTGGATACTAAAAACATGAAATGCAGAAAAGAAAGTAGAATTGATAGAAATTTCATTTCTTCTGCAGTTATTTAAAATTAAAAAAAAAGAATCCATTAACTAAAGAGAGAGTAAACAAAAGTAAAAGACAATTTGGCTACTCACTAGCTATATACTTTTGAGTAAGTCACTTTCTTCACTTTAGTTTGTAACATAAAACAGCAGTATTAGGTGATATATGGGGCCCTTAGCTTAAGAGAGTTCTAGTGACCTAGTAAACAGAGTTCCCAATTCAAAGAGAGTTTTAACCTACCTGCTCCTCTGATAACTTGCTGGAGGGTCAGCTATGAACTGCTGTTATGAGTTAAAAGGAGCTCTAGTGGTGTGCTGTGCTGCTAACTTTTCAATAAGTTTGAATTGGCTGCTCTGTGTGAAAAATGGGCAGTTTCTTCCCATAAAGATTTATAACAGGAAACCCTTATGGAGGAGTAGACTAGGTGAAAGTTTGGGTTTTGTTTTTTGAAGGTAATTATTTTCATTGCTTTAGAGTGAATAAATGAATAAATTAGCCAGCTTAGCCTCATCCTAAAATGAAACCAAGCCAAATAAGTAATTAAATACCAGTGCTTCATTCCTTAGATGCCAAAACGAAAGTTCATTAGTTCCAATTTAAAGAGTAAATTGCATGGTATATATAAACAGCACAGAGCAAGTAAGCCAGGTCTCAAGGCTGAGAGTTAATTCCCAAGTCTTCTATGGTAAGCACATCGGCAACTAGGGAATCCAAATCTCTGAAGGCAGAAGAAATCTAGACAATCAGGTTTATCTCCTGCCTTAAGAACCTACCTTGGGAGCATTGTGTCCCACGGGGACATGAGGTCCTCTTCTAGATTTCATTGCAAAACGCATGATTTGCCTCTTCACAAAAATAAACAAGAGGACAAACACCTGTCCAGAAAAACACGAAAAATTAAACTTTCAAAGATATTTGAATTCTCAGGGATTTTTGCTTTTCTTTTCCCTTCGGGGCAAAAACTGGTACAAAGCAAGTCTGTCAAATACTGTGGTGGGCTTGGGTCAGCCTGTAAGAAGGGAGGGATGGGGTCCATCGCTGTGTTTACGGGAGGGTTCCCCGCAGGGGCAGGGTGGTCGTAGTCACAAAGTTAAGTTCCTAGCTGCTCGTGGGACAGGAAAAGGTGCAAGTGAGTGGGTGAAGAATGAAGACAAGGAGTAGTTCAAGAGGAGGTAGTCTACTGGGTCAGACGCGACAGCAAGGATGTGGTGGAACAGCTCACCAGGCTCCCGTACGCCATCACCAGCACGACATTCACTCCGGACAGCCAGTTACTGCTGGACGCCATGGCCGCCTCACCCTGCACAGACCTGCTCTGCTGTACTTCGTTACCCTGCCTCGTCAGCCAGGCTTCCGTTGAGGCAACGGTGCATGGGTTTCCTGGAGCTCCACGGCCATTTCCTTACCCGGGAAGATCAAGCCAGACCTGTCTTAAAAACATGGCGGTCGAAGGAGGGGGCGGGTATGGCCACGCCTTCCCGCTTCCTTTCGGTCCGAAACTGAGGCTGCAATGGCTGGCACTTGGGATGAGGTGCTAGGGCCGGGACGCGGAACTACGCCAGTAAGAGGAAGTGGAGGCCATTCGTACGTCACGTGGTGAAGGCGGGGCGGCCGTGGAGGAGGCGGGGAGGACGCGCGGAACGGGAGCGAGGTGTCTCGTGGCGGTGCGGCGCGCGCACGCTTGCGTGCGCGTCCCTTCTCACGTCACGTTCTGGGGGCGCAGGAAGGCAAGTGAGAGGGGGAGGGCTCGAGAGCGAGCGCTAGAAGGGAAAGAGGGAGGGGGGCGGGGAGGAGGGAATCTTATATCACGTGACAGGGGCGGCGCGGCCCGGGGTGTCAGTGTGGAGGAGACTGAGGTAAAGTTGGGAGCGCAGCGGCGTTGGCGGCGGTGGCAGCGGCAGCGGCAGCGCGGCGGGGCCGGGTATTGTCCGCGGCCCCTTTAAATCCGCGATCTCCCTTTTACCCTCCCTCTTTTCTCCCCTATCCTCATCGTATCCCTCTTCCTTGGTAGGACCCCCCCCCGCACCAAGTGTGCCCCTACTGTACACCCCTTTTCCTGGTTGTGCGAACCCTAGCCTTCCCCCTCGAATCGGCCGCCGGAGGTTTTGTTTATGGTTAGATTCGCGGCCTAGTGGGCCGCGCCAGAGCCGGGGCCTCGATTTGGGAGCGTGGCCGGGGCGGGGCTTGGGGCAGCCGAAGGGGGGGGCATGCGGCTGGAGCCTGACGGGGGGAAGAGCGAGAAAGAGCGCGAGCGAGCGAGGCCTGGGCTCTGCCCGAGGTAGGGCCCGAGTCTCCCTTGGTTGATGTTTGTGGAGAAGACGAAGGGGCCTCCTCCTCTTCCAGACCTCTGCGGGCCTCCTCTGATCCGGATTCGTCTTGGTTTGGGGGCGTCAGGGGGGAAGGAGGACGATGGGGTGGAGCTGCCCCAAACTCCCCCATGTGGCCCTTAGAGTGCGGAGGATTAATTTGTTCCGGGTGGGAGGTTGGGAGGCACTTGGCCCCGTGTGTTCCCAATGTGGCGTTCAGTGGGGTGAGTCTTCCATCCTCCACGCGTGGGCTTGCGTCCCCTCTCCATTTCCACCCTCTTTGTCAGCTCCTTTTAATACCCGGCCGTCTTCTCAACACCCCTACTTTTGGAATGTATTTTCACTGTTGTCTTTAGCTTCCTGGTACCCCATACTATAGTTTTGGGTCCGCAAACAATTATGTTATTTGAAAGCTGGACACGGAGGCCTCCATAGGATGTATTCTGCCTAAGGGACGTCACTAAAGTACTGGGGTATTTATTCACTCTTTTTATAATGGGACAGGAATTCAGAATTTTTTCAGACCCATCACTTTCTGGGCTTCCCCCTGAATTGTTTTCAAAAACTGATGTCACAAACAGGAGACTGCCCTTTCTTTTCCACCATTCTTGAAATGTAGCCGCCTCTGGTGTAGGATGTTGTGGAAAGGAAAAACAGCACAATAACACGCCTTTTTTTTTTTTAAAGGGTCATGGTTTTCTTTTTTTTTGCGTTTCACCTCCCCTTACTTTTTAGATGTATATATTAGTATTTTGTGTCTTTCTCAACCCAACTTTCCACTCTCCATCTTCTGCTTTGGGAAATCTGAGGTGACTTGCTGAGAGCTGTTTAGGGTCAGTGACAACATTACTAAGAGAACTAAAACGTTTTCACTATGTGTTGATAAAAGTGATTTGAGATCCTACAGCATTGTCTTTAAAGACTATATTTTCCTAGTAGTGGTCATTGTAGACAGGAAATATTGCTGACATGTAAATAAATGATGAAAGACTATAAAATGTTTTGGTTTTGTATTTTAAGTCATCTCACTATACCATGTAGGAAGTAAATTGCTCTGTTAGAGGCAGCCAGCATTATCTGCCCCAGACCAGCGTCAGACAAGTTTCTGAATAATTGTACAATTTAGATTGTAAACTCCCTGAGGGCAGTTGCTTTGTATTTCTTGAAGTACTAGACGCATAGTAGTTACTCATATTGTTCTTTCTTTTTTTAGTCAGATTTTGCTGACCTTTTTTTTAAGTAGCTGGTTTTCATAAATTGGTCAGTTAATAAGGGGCAGTTAATGTGGAAGCTTGTATTCATTTTCATACTATTTATTCCCTTGGTCTTGAAAACTTCTGGTCCCACTTCTCTTAAATATTCTTGATCTCTGGAAGTTTAAGCAAGATTCCTCACTTTCATTGTGATGACTCTGAGTGATAACTGAGTATCTGTCGGCTTGCTACTTACTGTAAGGCAAAGAATTCGGTGCATCCAAGCGATCCTAGATCATTTGGCAAAGAATTCTGTGCATCCAAGCGATCCTAGATCATTTGGCAAAGAATTCTGTGCATCCAAGCGATCCTAGATCATTTGGCAAAGAATTCTGTGCATCCAAGCGATCCTAGATCATTTGGCTTTTGGCCTATCGTAAGATTTTTTTAGTCATACTCATGTAAAAGAGAACTGGAAGTTAATAGGATTATCAGGAAGATTTCTTCTTTCCTTTTCTAGGTAAATAGTGGTTTTCAAGATGATTTTTTATGTTTTTATGTCTATTTGGGTACAGTATGTGAGCTTTGGTGGTGTGGTGGTTGAAGTGTTTGACTGTTAGTGGTTCAAACCCGTCAGCTGCTTGCTGATTGAAATCACATGTAGAATAGAAAGCAGTCAGATTTTGAATTAGTTAGGAAATGGCTGCTCCCATATTAGAATCTTTGTCTTGGAGCCTGTTTTAAAGTTTAACTATCCTTTTTGTCTTTTAACTTGGTATTTTTCTCTTTCTGACTTCGCTCCAAGAGTACTTAAGCAGAGAGAGAGAGAGAAAATGAAAATGAACTACTGGGTAGCAAATAAAGCAAATAATCCTGCTCTAGCTTGGAATACCTACAGGTATTTGTGTGCATGTACATGTATATAGAGGCAAGAAGAATTGGTTAAAAATTAGCCTTGATGTTACCGTAAAACCTTTTCTTGGTGATAGAGAATGTAGCATTCTTAACTGTAAATGATCATGCCCAAACCAAAAATCTATATTATCTATTAACTACACTTGGTGAAGGATTTATGCAGGAAAGTTGGCTTTCTCTGTGACCATCCAACATGGAATTCACTTTACTGACAGTTAATCTTTGAATATTTGAAATTTCTTTAGAGGTTTGCCCTCTCCCCCCTCAAAATCCAGCAGTGATTTTTATGGCAGTCTAGAATTAACCTGTACAAAGTTTAATTTATGAAAAAATTAAATATAGAACCAAAAAGTACAGACTTGATCTTGCTGAGATGGAATAAAACAATGCAAACTAACCTCTTATTTGGAGCACCTCATCCTAGGATGTTTGTTTTCTTTGTATACTAAAAACAGCAGCTGAGATTGCATTATAAAACTTAAGTATGAATAAAGGAATTTGAATTCACTGGAATCTTTGCTCCTTAAAAGTGTTGCAATAAAAACTATGTTCTGGTTTTAGGAAGGCTCTATGTGTTCAATGTCTTTAAAGGCTCAAATGAGTCCTCTTACCAGCAGTAATGTCTCAAACTTAAAAGATTGCTCTTTCAGTTAAAACTGATAGATGGTTGGGGACAGGTCTGAGATTTTCTGTATATTGTGACTAGTAAAGGGTAATAGTAATTCTGGCTTCTTGGACTAGCAGACTAGAATACCAACAGATCCACTGCCATTAGTTCCAACTCAGTGACACTCTAAGGACTGGGTAGAACTGTGTGTATTTTATTTTTAAGGCTGTAAATCTTTATGGAAGTAAATTGCCTCATCATCTTTTGCAGCTAGTAGATTTGACTCAACCAACCTTTTGGTTAGCAGCTAAATCGCCTAACCACAGGGCCACTAGAGCAAGAAGACCAACAAAGAGGCAGCTGTAAAAAACAGTGTGTTGTAATTCTTTTCCAGGGAACTGAGATTCTGGGCAGTTACTAGGGCTAATACTTGTCCTGTTGAAGGCTACGGTTAAGCAAAACCCCTTATCATGCTGAGTAGAAACTTGAGGGAGAAAGAGGCTTGATTTTATCCTTTATTGGAGGTTGTGAGTAATATATGTAAAAGACAAGTAAGGTGATTTTTTGCACAGATTGATTGGGTACAGTATTTTTTTGCTGTTATCCCTGGATTATAGGCCTATCTTTTTTTCTGGAAAGATTTGTTTTTAGACTTTTCTGTCAAAGAAACTTAAGATACTTGCATCAATATAGAAAGCTTTTGCTGTAGCAACATTATTTTATTAGCAAGGCAGCAAAGTTGCACAAACTTGCTTATGGGAAAAATAACAACCTTTGACTGTAACTTAAAACAAAGACAGAAAAACCAACTGTAACTTAACTAAATTATAGTAAGCACTCATTTACTCATGCCCTATACAAACCTAGAGTAACAAATATAGTTTCTTTGGAAATGTATTAAACTATGTATATGTCATGTTGTTGTCATCAAGTTGGAACTGACCCATCGCTGACCCTCTAGCAGATTTTCAGAGACAGTAAATCACATAGGAGGAGGTTGTTCATTCTTCTCCCTGGTGGAAGCAACTGGTGGATTCAAACTGTGCCTTTTGGATTACAGTGCAGCTTCTTAGCATTAGGCCACCAGAGCTTCCTATATGTCTTTTTGGTTATTCTTTTGAAGAAATGAAAGTACTTGTTTATATTGTGATGAAAGATTGAAAACATTCTGCCCAGATTTAACAGCTAAACTCTTTCTTTTAATCTTTCAGTATTCTACCTTGTAAATACTGTTATTTGTATATACTGTAAATGATGACATCAGTGGGCACTAACCGAGCCCGGGGAAACTGGGAACAACCTCAAAACCAAAACCAGACACAGCACAAGCAGCGACCACAGGTAAAGAACCCAAAAGCTGTGGATCCCCAGGTGGCCTTGCTTGATACCGCCTTCTACACAATATAGCATCATCTTTTGTATTGGACTCTTACTTTTTTTCCACTTCTTGGGTGGATTGGTTGGTTGGTTTACTTTCTTTTTATACTTAGGGCCTGATAATTTAATGACATAATGTGATGCAACAAGTTTTACTGTTTACTACTGTTATAAGACTTTAAAAAATACAGATCCCTTCTGTTATCTGGGCTGTATTAGCAATAATGAGTTGTTTTCTAACCTTACACTTTAACAGCTCTGTAGCCAACATTTGTTTTGCTAATTTCTAGATTTTAGCCATTACTCCTTTTCCCCCTGACTTGGCTTTTCTCTTCCTCTAGTCTCTTTGAGGGCTTACCTAATTTTTCCTTTGTCCTGAAGACCTGTGTTTGTTCCTTTAGAATTAACAAGTAGGATGCCTTAAGTTTAAGGAGTAAAATAACCTGAGTACTGAAGTTTATGTTTTTTGTTTTTCTAAATTAGATCTGTTTCTTTTACCAGTTTGATGTTTGTTGATCCTGATGTGAATCAGTTACTTCTTTTTTACTTAGTAAGATGAGTTTAATAGGTAAGACTAGAATTGTCATCTTATTAATTTTCCTTTCACAACTCCTTCCAAGTAAATTTTCTTGATATCATGTACACAAATACTCAGAAGATATATCATTCTTTAAACTTTGCAAATAAAAGCATTAGTCTGAATTGAGGGACAAGTGTTTCAGGGTGGATGAAGTGTTCCTAAGATTAAAACCTCTTTCACTATGAATATTGGTGGAAAAGAGCCCCACTTTTTAACCCTAAAGACATTGTAGAATAAAATTATGAAAGTTTTTGGTTTTTGTCACTTTGTTGGTTAAATGTTTGACTGGTATTTTGAACCTACCTTAAGGAGGCTTGGAAGGTAAGCCTGATGATCTGCTTCTGAAAGGCCTTGAAAATTGTATGGAGCTCTGTATACATAGAGTCTCTATGCATTGACATCTGCTTAATGGCAATCAACAGCAACAAGTCATACTGCTGTTTTCGTCACTTATTTTTTGGTCATTTGTAACAGAGAAGTAAACTGGGAAGTGGGAGGAGGTTTAAACTGTCAGCTCTTAATCATGATTTCTAATTTCTAGGCCACTGCAGAACAAATTCGACTTGCACAGATGATTTCGGACCATAATGATGCGGATTTTGAGGAGAAAGTGAAACAGGTGAGTGTATTATTGATTTGTAGAATTTCTGAGAGACTACATTTGTATTAAAAAAACAGTAAAACAACGTAGATGCCCACCAGGATGCTATCTCTTGCAAGCATTAGAGGAATTATAATCTGAAAAATGTATTAAGGCAATAAGTGGGTTTTTTTAATCTAAATAACCATATATCTTTTCACAAATAATCTTGTTCAAAGAAGTTTGATATTTAATCTCTTGTTTATTGAACAACTTTGTACAAGTTTACAGTCCTTTTGAGCAGCTGTGACATCAAGGGAATGTAGAAATTCATAGTTTGTTGAGCTTTACGTTTTGATTCTCATTTTTCTTTTTTTTTAATTCTCTTTTTTCATGTTTAATTGCTTGATAACTTTGTAAATACTTTTTACCATATATCCAAATCAGAGATAGTTTTGGCAATAGAATATAAAAATGCCGTATAGTTTACTTTTCAAGTTTGGTTCCTTCAAATTAAACTTATGTCTTTTCAGCCAGTTTTCTTTTATGGAGGATTGTTAGTGTTAGGTGCTGTTGAGTTAAGTATGACTCATAGGGACCCTATGAACAAAAGATTGGAACCCTGTCCAATCCTGTGCTATCCTCATGCTTCCTGACACACAGGAGCTCATTGCAGCCGTCACTGGCATCAGTCCAGCTGGTCGAGGGTCTTTCTCTTCTTTGCTGACCTTTCATCCTTCCTAGCATCATGTCCTTCTCCAATCAATAGTCCCTCCTTAGCAACATGGCCAAAGTATGTGGGGCAAAGCCTCATCATTTTTGCCTCCAGTGTGGACTCCAGCTCTATCCTCTCTAAGACGTATTTGTTCTTTTGGCCGTCCATTAGATGTTCAGTGCCCTTCTCTAACACCACAGTTTAAAGGCATCAGTTCTTCTGTAATCCTTATTTATTGTCCAGCTCTCATACACAAGCAAGTGATCAGAAAGAATATGACCTGAATCAGACACACCTTAGTTCTCAAACTGACGTTATTACTCCACAATAATTTGGAGAGATCCCTAACTGTAGATTTTCTCAGTGCAATGTGTCTCCTTATTTCCTGACTGCTTATTTATGATCGTTGCTGATCTTTCTCTTTCAGTTGATTGATATCACAGGCAAGAACCAAGATGAATGTGTGATAGCTTTGCATGACTGCAATGGAGATGTCAACAGAGCCATCAATGTACTTCTGGAAGGAAACCCAGACACGGTAGAGTGCCATAGAAGGGTTCAAGAAAGTGGGTTTTCATTCAGAGACTAGTAATAGTTAGAAAATAGTACTTTAGTAAAGCAGAGTACCTTATTTTTTAAGTAGAGCTGGAAACTTTGTTGGAAGTTATTTGCTGCAAGCTATAAATAATAAAAATTTATAATACATCTCTTCATGAAGATAATAGTAGTAGGAGGGAGAAAAGCGGGTGAAATCTGTCTCTTCTGATTTCCTTGGAATAAATTACCCATTTCAGACTAGTGACTTTTTAAGGCTGGGTTGCTCTGAATTAGAGATGCTATTTGATAGCTTTGGTTATTAATCAAGGGAGAATTTCCTCATTCTTATTTATTGGTCCTAGACAGAGTCACAGACTACTCCATTGTTAACTTAGGACATTCCCATCACATAACACAATTATTATTTCAATTTGTAAATTTATGTCTGTTGAAATAATGAAGAAAACAGTATTGCTTATTGACCATCCTTTGAGATAATAGAAAATTTTGGAGGCTAAAATAGGGATCATTGGATGGGATAGCATAGCATAGCATAGCATAGCATAGCATAGCATAGAGTTGCCAGCTTGTTGATGTTACATTGTTTTTTACCTGGTGGCTAAATGCTCAAGGTTTGTCAGTTTTCTTGAAACAATAGGAAACAGAAGTGGAAATTACATTTTAATCACTGAGTGAAAATGTGTTAGTTTGTTTTCTTCTGAAGTGTGAACTCATAGATTAAATTTTATATTTCCCCCCTTATTTTGAAAATTCATTGCTTGAACAATTAAGTTAGTACCTTTGATAGAGTATGAATTTATTCTGTGTTAATTGTCTCAAGGTTTTTGAGGATGCTAAGGGGTGGAACTCAAAAAAGTCTGAAATATTTTTATGTGCAAGTCATGCTTTTTTCTCACCTTTCATTTACTTAATGCTACAGATCTGGCTTTCTAAAGTATCAAAAAGGAAAAAAGATCTGTAGAGTGTAATCCTGTCAAAAATTAACCAGCTTTTTATAAAACCAAAGGGAGCTCTGGTGATGTGTATAGAGTTATTCTGCTAACCCAAAGACTGTTCCTCCCTTGACTGTTCAAACCCACTAGTGGCCCCATGAGAGGAAGATAGACAATCTCCTGTGTAATTTGTAATCTCAGAAACCCAGTGGAGGGTAGACTATGAGGTGGTTCAAACTAGTAGTGTGTAAAGTTGCTTAGTAAAACTAATGGGGGAAAGTCAGCTGCCCAAAGATGTTGCATGTTTTTGAATAAGTGAGATCATATCAGGAAACTGGTAGTGCTTTGGGGAAGATGGTAGTAATTTTTTTCTAGACCCTAGCTGGTGCTAACAGCTAATACATACCACAAAAGAGGGAGAAAGGTGACAAGTTGAGAGGTTTTCTCAGACAGACTAGTATAAATTCTGGTTAGTGATGAAAAATTCTAAAAAGTAATTGTTTGAATAGTTTCCAGGATTTGTGATGCACATTTAATTATGTTCCTATACTTATGATTGAACATATTTTGAGTTACTCTGACCATACGGTGGAATATGGAATCAGCTTGGATTGGAAGTGTGGGCAGCAAGTTAATTTTATTTTTTTTTTTTTT